AAAAGTAAACGTTCCCACGCTGGCTTCAAAGGACTTTTATTGACATAATATTATATGGTCGTGGAATATTGTATGAGTGTCATGGCGTTGAAAACAATCAAGCATATCAGTAAAATGCTGATGCATGAGTTAGTTGGAGTAATGTAGCTGTGATGAAAAGCTGTGACGATTAATACTGTACCTAAAGCCATCAGCACCTCACTACAAGCGCTTCTGGTGTGTTCCTGAACCCGCTCCTCATCGTGCTGAGAAACGTTCCTGCAAAGACTATAGATGCAGCAGAGAGAATCAGCAGGAAACACTGCCTGTTTGCATATGAAAATGATTTGTGTCCAGGATGTGTCTGAGTTTGAGTTAATCTCAACAGGAGCTGAGTGAGCGGATGGACGCTGTGCTGCAGGAGAAAGCTGAGAGTCACCAGAGCCTGACGTTACTGCGCAGAGAACACGAAGAGTTCAGGAAGCAAGCACAGGTATTTACAGCACTTGTGTAAGGTTGGCTAGTATCCAGCAAATATAACGCATTAAATATGATCAACTGCAAGTGTAATAACAAGTAAAGCGAGGAAATAAATACTGCACATAATAAGGTATAAATAAATGATCCAGTGGGGAAATTGTGTGATCATTTTCATATTGTTTAGTTTATCTAGTAATCATTTTTTTACATTGAAGTCTATCTATATTTCCCACTTGCTCTTCTTCCTCCTCTAAGATAATGAGGATAATTAAAGCTTGTTTTAGCAGGGCTCTACGGATACTTTTCTTTTTAGGAGCGCTTGTGCTCCTAATTTAAAAAATTTAGGAGCTCCTTCTAATCTGTGTAATGGCATTTTTCGAACTTTATTAAAAGTATGTCATCTTTCCTCATGTCAAAATCAAAAAAATATATATTTATAAGCTTTTTAACATTTCTAATTAAAACAATAGAATAAAAACAAGTAGAATAAGAATAAGTTACCAATCAAATGAAATCAGTATTTAAGAAATAAATTTGTGCTACAGAGATGGCACAGAAGAACACACAAGTGGCTTGTATGTGTATTTTTAGACGTTTAATGAGGCTCAGTATGGAAGCATATAGGTAGCGAAATTCAATTTAAAATGCAATATGCAAAATGGCAATGCAATATTCAAAATGGCATTGTATTTCTGTATTTAAATGTACATTTTCCATTACCCATACGTGCAAAGTTTGGTGCAAAAGTAAAAGTAAAATTAAATTATATAATTTGCCATTTCCAACAGTAGTCTTAATATGTAAATTGCATGCACATTTGAACGCTTTATAAGTTGCGAAATGAAAATGAAAATGCTAAAGTCAAACGTTCGAACGACCGACCGATCGAACGTCTATCCGATCGTCTTGAGCTTTGAGCGTCTTACACGGCGGGTGACCCACGTGACGTCAGCGTCTTGAAATCAGCTGGTGTTTAAACATTTAAGGAGCCAAGCTGCTGTGTAAAGATTACAAGCATTACAATAATGATATTTTATACCTAAAATAATACTCAACCATTTCCTGCATCCTGCTGTACTTCCCTGAATAAGTCTTTAAAGGTGTTGTAGGCTAATAAGTCGTTCTGAGTAATAAATTGAAAAAGCTCCCACCTGTATATGACTAAACAAAATAACATGTAGTTTACTTGAGGCTCTGTTATAAATGTTTTTATTAGAAACATTCATTTAAATTAATTAATTATACAAAAAATTGTTTGAAATTAATGAAGACTTCCCGAGTTTTTGAACGAAAGTCCTGAATGACTGTTATTAAAGGTCATTTAATGAATTTTAATGATTTTCAATGCCCCGTGGAAACCCTGCCTTTGTTGGAAATGTAAATAAATTATTTGAATTATGTTTGATTGTTATAACACTTTTCAGTAACAATATTTCATAGTTATTAAAGGTCATTTAATGAATTTTAATGATTTTCAATGCCCCGTGGAAACCCTGCCTTTGTTGGAAATGTAAATAAATTATTTGAATTATGTTTGATTGTTATAACACTTTTCAGTAACAATATTTCATAGTGTTTCATATTGTTCCAGCCGCCATGTTTCAAACGATCCAAACGTAACACGCTTCCGCCAATTCTTGCCTTGAAGCACTGAGTGACGGAGTGGGGGCGTGGTCAGCTCGGGTGTGGGCGTGGTCAGCTCGGAATGCATTTTCA